GGTGGAGGTAATGTGATGGTCTGGGGTTGCTTTGGTGCTGGTAAGGTGGGAGATTTGTACAGGGTAAAGGGATTCTGAATAAGAAAGGCTATCACTCCATTTTGTAATGCCATGCCATACCCAGTGGACAGCGCTTGATTGGAGCCAATTTCATCCTACAACAGGACAATGACCCTAAACACACCTCCAAATTGTGCAAAAACTATTTAGAGCAGAAGCAGGCAGCTGGTATTCTATGGGTAATGGAGTGGCCAGCGTAGTCACCAGATCTGAACCTCATTGAGCTGTTGTGGGAGGAGCTTGACCGTATAGTAGGCAAGAAGTGCCCATCCAACCAATCCAACTTGTGGGAGCTGCTTCTGGAAGCGTGGGGTGCAATTTCTCCAGACAAATTAACAGCTAGAATGCCAAAGGTCTGCAATGCTGGAATTGCTGCAAATGGAGGATTCTTTGATGAAAGCAAAGTTTGATGTAAAAAAATCTATATAAAAATAAGACACGGCCAAATCCTTTGTAATCTTTACCATCGAAAGGCTGCAGCCATGTCCCGAATTTCTAGTTTTCCAGCCACTTATGTTAAAATTTGCATTTTCCCATTCTCTAGCTTTTTCTGTGCCTCGAGCTTCTTTTCCGAAACATATGGCTTTAAGATCAACCAGGAGCAGTTCCACGCATGGAACACGTGGAACCAGTTAAATCTGATATATTTGACAAAATTTTTGTTTTTTTTATAAAGCATTTTAAATGTCATGATAATCACATTTAATGAATTTTAATGCCAATTAAGGCAAGCTGTCAATATTATGTCAGTTACTTTCATTTTTTGTTATTGTATTTTTTCTCATCTGCCATGGTGCTCTTTCTTTGCAACATGTTGGAGTATTTCTCTTTCCATTCCTCTGCTCCTCCTTATTAAACTACTTGCAGTTTGTTTTGTTTTTTTCCTCTTCAAAGGCTTTTAACAATTATTTAAGTCAGCCGTACATTGTTCTACGTATAGATTATCACCAAACCTAATTCCTTGGGAAAAAAAGTTGTATCTATTTCTAGCTTTTAGCTCTCCGGTCTGCAGGACCTTTCTGAAACTTTAGCTGATTTCATGTCCAGGCTGGGAATCAGACCAGGACCTTTTTGCTGCAAACTCAGCTACTGTACATAGATATGGACATGATAGATTTATTACAAATTAGACAAAAAAACAGCGAGATAGAGTAAAAAGAATGGAGTTGAAATGCCATGAACATTTCTTTCATTTGCATCATCATCTGTCCCTCCTGGTTTATAGACTCACCACTGACACTTGCGGGCCCCGAGCCCAGTGCCAGAGAAAACGGATTGGTCTCCTGTACCATCGGCCTCTCAGGGGTTGGAGTGACTGGCTCCGTCTCATCAGAGCTGAGAAGCATCACTGGGACATCGAAGCCAAACCTGTGAGGCAGAGAAAACAGATGGCTACTATGCAGCTTTCAGCATCCCATAATAGTCACAAGATTTATTCTTCTTGTTCTTCTGGGGCCCAAGCTTGTCAAAGGGGAGGGGCAAAACACCCTGTGCACTAACCCTGAATAACGATCCTACCGTAAAAAAAATAAATAAATAAACTGTCATATGTGGACACACTGCATATACTGTATATATCCATTAACCCTTTTTTTCATCTGAAACATTCTTCTTCTTCTTTGACTATTTGAGCTGATGGAATGAGTAAATTTCTCCACTGTGAGATCAATCAATCAATCAATCAATCAATCAATCAATCACAGAGCCCCTAAACTGAGTTGGGCTCATTGACATACATATATATCATTGTAGGCCTAGTTGCATATACTAAATAATAAAAAAAAAA